GGCCCCCGAGAGGGGCCTTTGCATGTTCGGGACTGACACGATCATGCTCAACGCGCGCAGTTCCGCTTGCGAGGCGCTCCCGGGGGTACAGCAGGCACGAGCCTCGCTTTAAAACACGAAACCATAAAGCGAGGAATCGACACAAGTCAAGAAAACTTCCCCTCATTTTTCTTTTGATAAGCACACGAGATTTCAAATTCATTCCAAAAAGTTGGTAATTGGGTACAGAAAGAGGGGCGAAAGCAAACAGCCGCGTCCGGCACCTAGCTAGTCTTCTGGTCTTCTCACCAGCGCGGAGCTAAGTGCTTCCACTGGGCGTGGGCATAGTCATTGGGGGACAGTGTCGACGGCCAGCGCGGAGCATGGTGCTTCCACTTGGACATTGGTGGGAGCCCCCGTGAGGCCCTAGGGCAGCACTCAGGAGACTCTGGGGCATGTACAACCCCACTCATTATTACGTGAGAGTGTCACGAGTGGAGACCTTCACAGGCACAGGGCCTTTCTTCATGTCGCCCGACGACGACCCCGCCCTGCGCTGCCCCCGTCCACCGTTGGGGCATCTGGAAACCAGGACGAGACCAAGGGGCAAGGAGGACGCTAGTGGCGCCATCGGCGACCGTAGGCCCTTCATTGGGGGGGAGGGCTCATCGGCGCCTTCCCCGATGGGGGGACTACCTTCGAGCGGCGCCTTACTCCATGCAGCACGGGGCAGGCCCTGGCCCCGGGCTCCCCCCACGCCATTCCCAAGGCCCTTCGTCCACCTGCGGCTGGGCCGCCACCCCTAGGGCCCTGGCGGTGGCTACGGCTTGGTTCACCTGCGATCCATGGTTAGTGTAACCGTGCTCCTGAGGCATTGGCTGTACCCAGTGGTTATTGTCGTTGAAGGCGTTGGTGGAGCCCTGCAGTTGCTCACAGAGAGCCTTGGCCTCGTGTGCTTCCAGCGCTCAGCTTGGCGTGGGGGATCGGTTGGGGCCTTCTCCCGATGCATACCTTAGGTCCATCATGATTGGCACGTAGGCCTCCGGGCTGGCCGCGCCTGAGTCGCTGCCCAGTTGCCTTGGGCTGCTGCCCTCTGGGCCCAACATCAGGTCCTGATGGCTAAGGGTTGATGCCCCGGCGCGGCCCCAGGGGAGGCCGCTCGGGTTCGCCCCCCCCCCCTTGGGGCCGCATGGTTGAAGTAGAGAAGGCTGCGTCGTGGGGTGGGCCGACGCTGAGAGGCTCTTCAGGGGCCCCCGAGAGGGGGTGCGCGGGCGTAGCATGGGTGAGCGCGCGCCCCCACCACGACTTGCGACATGGGCAGGGTGCAGAACGGTGTTGCGCCCCTGCATGTAGCATCCAGGAACTCGGTGACCCGCTCCAACAGGGCATCACGGCCGCTCTACGCCAACCTGCACCTCAGCAGCTCTTGAGCCACGATGACGCAGCTTGCATGTTCGTCTGCTCCTGGTGAGTGTGTGGTGTTGTCGCCATGGCATAGTTCAAAGACCGTGCGGTGGCGCGGCTGCGGCATGGCACGAGAGGGGGGGCGGCGGCCCGCGCCTTCCACGTCCGATGGCACCGGGCAGAGTGCAAGCCGCGAGCAGCGGGGAGTCGAGATCTTCCTCGTCGGCAGATGCTATCGGAGTGGACCGGACAACCCAGTGTTCAACACGGGCTATCGGGGCGTCGGCCATGGCGGCGGTGGAGTGGCGGCGAATCGGTCGACGAAAGAGAGGCTCTGATGCACCCCCTACCCGGCGTGCCAAATGTCGGGTTTCGGGTTCCACAAACCCTTGAGAGGTTCAAACTATGGGTGCGTGCGGAGATCTCAACCTACCTAGCCTACCTACTCGCTCACCTCACAGCTTATCACATCGAGCTCGACGGGAAAGGAAGATACAACAGTTTACCCAGGTTCGGGCCACCTTGCGGTGTAAAACCCTACTCCTGCTTTGTGGTGCATTTACCTCGAGGGGCTGAGGAAGAACTAGTACAGTGGAGAACAGCCTTAGGAGGCGTGTTCTTGAGCTCAAGTGAGCTGGTGAGGTGGTGAGGGTGGAATGGATTCGATTGACCTAATCCCCTTTGTTGGTGGTGGCTTGGTCCTATTTATAGTGGCCTTGGTCGTCTTACCAAAAATAGGCGGGAAGGAATCCCACAATGGCCAAATTTGAAGGGAGACAACAAGTACGTCCTATCCTGACTAAAGTGGTCTTCACCTGCAAAAGCCGTTGGTCGTGACGCTACGGTGGGCTCGGTGGTGACCTCCATCCTGCCATCCTGGCGGTTTTGGTCTTGTTGCACCAGAATGGAAACCTTTGGTTGATTCCTCGGGACTCTACGCCTGCTGCTTGCCTCCTTTGCACCGAAGAGTAAACTGGTACTCTGCACTCGCTGGCGCCCTCCTGGTGCCGAACCTCGCGAGGTGTGCCTTGCATAGAAATCTCCGTTCCTCGGGAGCCAGCCTGAGGAGGCCGATCACCTTGGAGGTCTTGGTGTCGTCCGCCTCGCGAGGCTTGGCCCCTTGCGGGGGTCTTAAGGTGTTGATGCTGAAGCTGGGCCGTACCAGGCCATTGATGGAGCCATGCCGTGGGCTGCAGGAAGGCAAGTCTGGGTACCCCCGTATCCAGAACACCGACAATATTCCAAGCTACAATTGTTCAAGATGAAGCATGATGACCCAAAAGTATAGGGGATCAATTGTAGTCCTTTCGATAAGTAAGAGTGTCGAACCCAACAAGGAGCAGAAGGAAATAACAAGTGGTTTTCAGCAAGGTATTCTCTGCAAGCACAGAAATTATCAATAACAGATAGTTTGATAGCAAAGGTAATTTGTATCGAGCAACAAGTATGTAACAAAAGTGCAGAAAGGTAGCCCAATCCTTTTTATAGAAAAGCACATGCCGGAGCGTTCTCATGTAGTAAGCAAAGAGTTCTTGAGGCCACATGGGAATTCATCTAGTCACTTTCATCATGTTTGTTTGATTTGTGTTCGCTACTTTGATAATTTGATATGTGGGTGGACCGGTGCTTGGGTGATGTTCTTATTGGAACAATCCTCCCACTTATGATTACTCCCTCTCGCAAGCATCCTCAACAACGAAAGAAGAATTCAGATAAATCTAACTATAGCATGAAACATGTGGATCCAAATCAGACCCTTACGAAATAATGCATAAATTAGGGTTCAAGCTTCTATCACTCTAGCAACCCATCATCTACTTATTACTCTACAATGCCTTCCCTTAGGCCCAAGTATGGTGAAGTGTCATGTAGTCGACATTCACATGACACCACCAAAGGAAGCAACAACATACACATCATCAAAATATTGAACGAATACCAAATTCACATGATTACTTATGACAAGACTTCTCCCATGTCCTCAAGAACAGAAGTAACTACTCACAAATCATATTCATGTTCAAAATCGGAGGGGTATTGAATATCATGAAGGATCTGAACATATGAAAGCGCAGGTTATCTCCTAGAAGGGGTGATTGGAAGATTTTTAGAAATTCGTCAAACTCTAAAGAATTTGACGAAGGTCAGAGTGAAGAAATAGAAACTCAAGGGAAACTAAATCGTCATAGAATCAAAGTACATGCAATTAGGGTACGTTATAGTGAAGGACATGCAATCATACAATCATACAAGCATGTAGAATATGAATTGAGGAAATGAAAGATAGCATGATGAAATTCTTTAGTTCAAATTCGTTAGAGGATAGATCACAAATTCTTTAGTAGCGGAATAATGTAACAACCCATTTGGCTCCTGTGATTTGGGCCAAATTTTGCGGATTTCATTTCCGAAATCTGACCCAAACTTGTTTGGCTGCCACAGAATTGACACTGGATTTCACTTCTGAATTCCAGCGAGCCGATACCCTAGCTACACCGAAATCCCTCCCTGACCCCTCTCATTTGACTAGATTTGAAGGCCCGACGCAGCTCTTTGTCTCTTTCGATCCCTCTCCTCCACCCTGCTGCCACCACCCTCTTCTCCACCCTGCTGCCACCCACCCTCTCCTCCACCCTGTCGGCACCCTCTCTTCCGGCAAGGTTGCTCCATCTCGATCCCTCTCCTCCCACCAAATCGCCCCGTCCAGGTCCCTCTCCTCCTGCAGATCGTCCCATCCAGGTCCATCTCCGCCATGTATTGTCCCTCTCCTTCGGCAAGCTCGCAAGGACACTCTGACATCTTGGTTCCCCCTGTCCCTCTCACCATCGGTAAGCCTTCTCCGCTTGCTCCCTTCCCCACCTCTCTTCTCCCCCTCCCTCTCTCTGATGAGTTTTTCCTCTTGAACTCTAACCCTTACCTGAATCCACATGTTCAGCAAGACGCCTCACTCCAGTCACCCAATCCAGGCAGCCCATGGTCGATCAACTCCACCCTCGGAGGACTAAGGAGCAAGAAGAATCGGTGATCTTGGTTTGGGAGCAAGCAGGGGATGCTTTGCCTCTTTCAATCAGAGTGGTTCTTCAGTTGGATGCTGCAATATATTTGCTTGGATACATTGTCACAACATTGTCATATGGACTAGGTTGTTATTTCCTTTGATTGCTGCAATATATTACTCCATAAGATCTAGACAGGTTCCTCGGATAATATTGCTTTGTTTGGATTAGCTAAGTGACTGTGTGACTGCTTGTAGGCCATGTGTACAGTTGTAATTGAAGAACATCAGTCGGGAGTCCTAGATTAACAATGACTGCTTTGATCATCATCCATACATGAGGAGTAACTAATTCGTGTTCCCTATCAACAAAAAATATATTTATTTCCTGAATTCTGCTTGGTGACTGCTCTAGCCATGTTAACTTGTCTTTCCTTCCATAGCTTTACCATCACACAAATTATTTTTGTTGATGTTGTTGTTACTTATTCCTCTCCAGTTTATGGGCTTTTTTCGCTATGAGTTGGGCTTGCACACAAGCAATGAGCATGAGTTTTTTGTGTACCACTAGGAATCAAGCTTGAGTATTTTCTCAATTGTTGTTTTCTTCATCTTAACATACATGTCGGACTTGCACATTAACACATTGCATGACGATGAGAGGAGAAAGAAAAGGAAGAGGGTAGCTGCTGGATTTTTTGTGTCGGTTGTCGTGATAGTTCAACACACGTATTGTCGGGGGAAGATTAGGGAGCTTGATGATTTCAGTGAGGATGAGGCAAAGATTAGGATTAGAAGCCAGATGCTTAGATCAATTTATCAGGGTTCTAACAAGCACTGTTTTGATAGTTTGCGCCTAACTAAACGGTCCTTTGTGGACATGTGTGCTATCTTGCGTGAAAGATGTGGTTTGGGGGACGCGTTTTATGTGCCGATTGAAGAATCAATCACAATGTTTCAACTAGTGCTAAGCCATGGGATGGAATACCGGCTAATTGAAAGAACGTATAGATGGGCACTCGAGACCATCAGTAGGCATTTCAATGAGATCTTAAGACATGTCCTTTCCTTGTATCATGAGTTTATAAAGTTACCAAGACCTTCAGCTGAGCAACCCGATGATAGTATATGGAAATGGTTTCCAAATGGGTAGGAGCTTTAGATGGCACACATGTTGATGTCCAAGTTTCTGCTCTCAAGCAAGGTAGATACAGGAATAGAAAGCAAAATGTGACAACTAATGTGCTTGGTGTTTGTGAGTTGAATATGAAGTTTTGGTATGTCTTAGCTGGATAGGAAGGTTCTGCATCAGATTGACGAGTGTTGCGAGATGCAATGTCACGACAAGACGCTTTTAGAGTTCCACATGGTAATTCTCTATCTTGGTATGGTAGAACAACTAAGTTATGATATTTCAATGTAAATATGATATCTAATACTTGTTATTTTTTCAAACATTAGGAAAATACTACCTTGTAGATGTTGGGTACACTAATGGTCTAGGCATCTTTACTCCATATCGGTCAGTCCGGCACCATTTGAAAGAATGGGCGGCAAATGGAAATAACCCACAAACTCCAAGAGAGTTATATAATCCGCAGCATGCATCTCTAGGAATGTGATAGAGAGAACATTTGGTCTACTAAAGATGAGATGGGCTATTTTGAGGACTAGTTCATTTTTTCGCATATGGAATCAGGTATCACATAGTATATTGCAAAACCAAGCCTTCATTTATTTTTAGTTTTTTATTAACATGCCAATAATACCATCCTGCAGATCTGTGTCATTAATGCTTGATGCATATTACATAACTTTTTAAGAGATAGGCAGAGAGAGATGGATGATATAATGCTAATTGACGTGGATAATCAGTTAAATGATGATGCCATCGAACATCCCAAAGAAGCAAACATCATTAGACATGTTGAATCAACAATTGAGTGGAACAACAAGCGAGATACCTTAGCTAATCAAATGTGGGCAGACTACCAAAGGAGATGTTGGGGAGCCAATCATTGAATTCCTTCATTTGTATGTTCATATATTTCATATGCCTATTTTTGAACCCTCTCTCTCTCTATCTCTCTCTCTCTCTCTCTCGGGATTCTACGTTTTCTCATACATGTATTGTTGCTTGCAGGGACATATGGATGTGGAGAAGAAAGGAGGTAGAAACTACCTTACCTAGATGGATGAAATGGACGAGGCAATGTTGAATGTGTTCACGGAGCATTACAATAGAGTGGACCATGCTCAAAATGGGTGGAAACCACATTTTATACTACAGTTGTCAATAATGTTCGAGCCAAGTGCAATGTGGATATCACAAAGGAGAATGTCATATCAAGGTGCAAGACTATTGATAGACACTATGTCAATGTCAGCAAGATGTTGTCAGTGAGTGGTTTTGGGTAGGATTGGATCCATAACAAGCTTATGGTTGATAGTGGGGATGTGTGGAGCAACTATGTCAAGGTAAGCACTACATCTTGAGCAACTATGTATTCATGGCATGGCCACGAGATTCAGTTTCATCTATCATGTGGTCAAGTTTCTTACTTAATAACTATCTTTTGTTGTCACTCATACTTGTATTGATATATCATGATGTCCATGTTTTCTCTTTGGATTTGTATTTGGTGTTTGGATAGATGTGTGTTACATTTTCCACCATGACCTGAGACTATTTATCTCCATGCTTTGCAGGCAAACAAAGATGTCGCTTGGTATAGGCACACGGTCATAAAGTTTTGGGACTAAATCAGCCTTGTCTTCTTGAAGGATCATGCCACCGGAACCGGAGCCAGAACTAGTGTTGAAAGTGCTACAGAAATGGCTATGGAGAATGTGAACAATGTCAACATCGATTTTGCCACGACATTTTCTACTCAAACCGGTGACGAACAAAAGAAGAAAATATACCGATCAGATGACTCAGTTGCATCTATGCTTGGTGAAAACTGGATAATTTTACAAGTTCCTACATCGATATTGCTCAAGTTGTTCCTCGAGATAAACCCTCCTCTCCTGAAGAAATACTTGATGCTCTCAAAGCAATTGCTGGACTGGATGATGATGACTTGCTGCAACTTATGACACCCTCATAGCAGATGACTGCAAGTTCAAGGCTCTTATGGCTTTGCCTGAAAGAAGAAATGGATCCTCAAACAAATCAGCCAATGAAGCTAACTCAAATAGATTTCTTACCTTCATGTATCTCCTTGAGTATGTTTCAGTTTGAGCAAAGCATGTACAGGACCTAGAACAATGGATATTTGTGTGTATGTATTGTCAGTTTAAAACTTTGTAATCTTGGCTCGTGAGACTGAATGCTTAAATTGATGTTTGCTCACCTTTACATTTTGACTACCAACATTTTCATACCATGCTATATAACAAGTTACTAAGGAGTTGCTAGTTACATATATTGTTTCTTTGCATAGCATGTTCTCCATATTTTTCCATTTGACTACCAACTTCCACAGTAATTTAAGTCATGAAAATTATGGTGTCATTTTCTTGTGTAAAGTTGTAAACCTTGATGGTGGTTTTGATGATATTTGTCTTATGATTGTTCTGATGCATTCTCTCCTTTCCTTACCTTCTACTTTATTTGAAAAATAATAGTAGTTGTACATCAGGAGTAGTTCTATTTGTCATGTGTACAACAACAGTTCAATTTGTCATGTGTACAGGAACAACTCCTATTTCCTTTCTTGATGAACAATATATATCATTTTTCTTTGATGGAATGCATTACCTGCTTGATGCATACAATGGAAGATATACTTTTGTCCATAAATTTTCTTGATGAGCAATATTTTTTTTGTTTTTCTTGGATGAGCATGCATTGCCTTTCTTTGATGTCAAACTAATGCCTCACTATTATATGTGCTAGTTCGGTAGGTTACAAGACGAAGATAAGAAAGTGGGTAGCGGCGATTCTTTCTGAGCCAGAAGATGAATGTTGCTAGTCTATAGCATCATGTTCAAGTCTCTTCCTTCACTTTGCTTAATATAGGTTTGAAGCTTTGAACTTTGCTTTGCTTGCATCGGATGTGCATTTGTACTTTGTGGATCTGAACATGGCAGTTCTAATTTGATTGCATGGATTCTTGCTTCAGGGAGTCGCTTCATATATGAATGCTTGTATTCTGAATTTGTTTTATGTTGGCATGAACTTTAAATTTAGAAAGGTGATGTGGTAGCCAAGCTTCGTATCTATGTTATATCTCAGTTTTTAAGCCAGGCTTGGTGTGGTTGTATGGATTCTTATCAAAATGGCAGCCAAACTTGACACAGATGTCATTTTAGATGTTACCAGGAGCAGCCGAACATGATATTTCGATTTGGAATCTTGATTCCAGCAAATGAAATCTAGTCACAGATTTCATTTCATTTCATACAAATGATATGAAATGCAATCCCATGTGCGAAACGACCTGTAAGGGAGGTGAGGAATTTGAAATCAGGTTGGCACAGTGAACAAAATGCAATTTGGTAGACCAGGTCCAGTTGATGTATCAACTATACGTCTAGTTGAGGCGGCTGAGTCGCAACTCAGAGGACACATAGTCCTCACCATATTCGTCCTGAGCGAAGGTCACTTCGTCCTTGCTCAATCACTCGTGGTAAGTATTCAAGGTAGACTTCCAAAACTTTCACAGGCTTGTTCACAGACACACCACAATGACTCTTGGTGTACTCAGAACTTGACACCTAACCGTCTGGAAGACTAGTAATGGCGCACTATCTCCTAGTGCACCACTGCTAATAATTTTTTTATCTTTTTTTTCAAAACTAGTAATGGCACACCACACACTGCTACGTCTTGAGCTTGTGTTGGTTTTCCTTGAAGAGAAAAGGGTGATGCAACAATAGTAGCGTAAGTATTTCCCTCAGTTTTTGAGAACCAACGTATCAATCCAGTAGGAGGATCCTCAAAAGTCCCACACACCTACACAAACAAACAAAGAACTCGCAACCAACGCAATAAAGGGGTTGTCAATCCCTTCACGGCCACTTGCGAAAGTGAGATCTAATAAAGATAGTAAGATAAAATAAATATATATTTGCTATTTTATAATATAGATGCAAAAAGTAAAGACGCAAATAAAAGTAGATTGGAAGCAAATATGATAAGAGATAGACCCGGGGGGCATAGGTTTCACTAGTGGCTTCTCTGAAGATAGCATAAGTATTACGGTGGGTGAACAAATTACTGTCGAGCAATTGATAGAAAAGTGAATAATTATGAGATTATCTAGGCATGATCATGTGTATATGCATCACGTCCGCAACAAGTAGACCGACTCCTGTCTGCATCTACTACTATTACTCCACACATCGACCGACTCCTGCCTGCATCTAGAGTATTAAGTTCATAAAGAACAGAGTAACGCATTAAGCAAGATGACATGATGTAGAGGGATAAACTCAAGAAATATGATATAAACCCCATCTTGTTATCATTGATGGCAATAATACAATACGTGCCTTGCAACCCTTTCTGTCATTGGGTAAGGACACCGCAAGATTGAACCCAAAGCTAAGCACTTCTCCCATGGAAAGAAAGATCAAGTTAGTAGGCCAAACCAAACTGATAATTCGAAGAGACTTGCAAAGATAACTCAATCATACATAAAAGAATTCAGAGAAGATTCCAATATTATTCATAGATAAACTTGATCATAAACCCACAAGTCATCGGATCTCGACAAACACACCGCAAAAAGAGTTTACATCGAATAGATCTCCACAAGATAGGGGGAGAACATTGTATTGAGATCCAAAAAGAGAGAAGAAGCCATCTAGCTAATAACTATGGACCCGTAGGTCTGTGGTAAACTACTCACAACTCATCGGAGGGGCAAGGATGTTGATGTAGAAGCCCTCCATGGTCGATTCCCCCTCCGGCAGAGTGCCGGCGAAGGCTCTAAGATGAGATCTCATGGATACAGAAGGTTACGGCGGTGGAAATTGTGTTTTGTTGGCTCCCTGGATGTTTTCGGGGTACGTAGGCTTATATAGGAGGAAGAAGTACATGGGTTGACGCTCGAGGGGCCCACGAGACAGAGGGCGCGCCCTATAGGGGGGCGCCTTCCTATCTCGTGGAGGCCTCGACTGCTTCTTGACTTGCACTCCAAGTCC